CTAGGTGCAGCCCCTGGTCGGGCTCAGAGCAGGGCCGATTGGGGAGTTGGGGCGCCGCCCCCTGTCATACACAGAGCAGGGCGGATTGGGAGGTTGCGATGCCACCCTCAGTCACGCTCAGGATAGGGCCGATTGGGGGGTTGGGGCACTGCCCCCTGTCACACTCAAGGCAGGGTCGATGGGGAGTTTGCGGCGCCACCCCCTGTCACGCACAGAGCAGGGCCCATCAGGAGGGTTGGGGCTCTGAACCCTGTCACACACAGAGCAGGGTCGATCAGGGGGTTGGGGAGCTCCCCCTGTCACGCACAGAGCAGGGCCCATCAGGGGTTTGGGGAGCTCCCCCCTGTCACGCACAGAGCAGGGCCCATCAGGGGGTTGAGGAGTTCCCCCCGTCACTCACAGAGTAGGGCCGATAGGGGAGTTGGGGCACCGCCCCCAGTCACACACAGAACAGGGCGGATCAGGGGGTTGGGGCGCCGCCCTCTATCACCCACAGAGCAGGGCCGATCAGGGGGTTGGGGTGCCGCCACTGTCACACTCAGGGCAGGGCCGATGGGGAGGTTATGGCACTACCCTGTCACACACAGAGCAGGGCCCCTGGGGGGGGGGGGGGTTGGTGCGCCGCACCCTGTCACGCACACAGCAGGGCCCATCAGGGGGGTTTGGGCTCTGAACCCTGTCACACACAGAGCAGGGCCAATCAGGGGGTTGGGGAGCTCCCCCGTATCAGGCACAGAGCAGGGCTGATCAGGGGTTTGGTGTGCCTTCCCCTGTCACAAACAGAGCAGGGCAGATAGGGAGGTTGTGGCCCCACCCCCTGTCACACACAGAGCCGCAGGGCGATCAGGGGGTTTGGGTGCTGCCCCCTGTCACACTGATCCCGGTGCCGGGAGGCCTCTTGGCTCCGCTGATCCCGGTGCTGGGAGGCATATTACCCTTTTACTATATAGGATAGAGGCCTGGTGCATGGGTGGGGCTGGCTGGTTTGCTCTGAAGAGTGTCCTGGATCAGGGTGGGGGTCCCCACTGGGGTGCCTGGCCAGCCTGGGTGAGGGGCTGAGGGATGAAGCTCCCAACTGCTCCTTTTTTTCTTTCTTTTTTTTTATTCTGGGCCAGCTTTAGCTCTGAGGCTTGGCTGCAGCTCTGAGGCCTCTGCTGCTGAAAGTAGGTATCTGGTTTGTTTAGGTTCTATAATTGAAACTCTGTATCAACTCCAGCTCTGAGATCCCAGCTCTCTGAAAGCTGGTTTCTGGGATTTTGTTTAGCTTCTATATTTGTTACAATGTTTCTTAAACTGCAAGCTCAGAGGCCGGCAAGGAAGGCGGGGAACGTTGGTTTCCTCCGTCACTGAAGCAAGCAAGCCTCATGTTCAGTTTAAGCTGCCTGGCTGCCAGCTGCCATCTTGGCTGGCAGTTAATTTGCATATCGCCCTGATTAGCCAATGGGAAGGCTAGCGGGCGTATGCCAATTACCATGTTTCTCTTTTATTAGATAGGATGAATACTAAACATTTTCTTGGTGGAAATTTACTTTATAACTTGGGGATTTTATTTCAATCACTTTTATGGAACAAAGAAAATGTTTTTTTCTGAGAGAGAGATAGAGAGAGAGAGAGAGAGAATGAATTCTGGAGTTACTAGAAAGGATGTTAGCCATCCATCAAATACCACTTTCATTTCTAGAAACTTCATACCCTACTGTTTTCATGCAGTGAATTGTTTGCTATCTCCCAAATTAGTTGTGCAGTGGCATTAGAAAAGAGAACATTGAGTTCATCATTCCCAAAGCTACCTGACATTGATGTTTATTAAGCTTAATTGAACATTTAATGACATAATGCATGAGTGAGGCAAAGAGGCTATGTGGTCAATTAGAGACAGCATTTAAATGAGTTGGAGATCAGAATTCAGGACTTCACTCTACATCTCAGATTATCAGTTTTCCCATCTGCAGAATGAGGGATGACAGATACAGTGCATATGTTGCCACACCCTGCTTTCTAACCATGACCGACATTACTAATCACTCATGGCATTCTTTTCTTCTGAACCCGAAAACAGCTCCAGACTCCTTCCCAACATGTGCCCAAAACAGCGAGTACAGTTAGTCACCATTGGCACCCACGTTGAAATCTATTTGTCATCTTTGGGTATGACAATCTATAAAGACTCTTCCAGTTCTAACTCCCAGAAATACACCATCAGAAATTTGAAAGCTGTGCCCAGTTCAATATGTACTTTGGTCTTTCCAGGCTCCCTGTTCTCTAGGCATTGCATTTACATCAAATGGGATCCTGGGGCACTGATGTCTCCATATCCTACTGTAAAGCTCATCGACAGACAGCCTAGTCTTGGCCTTTAGGTATCCTTGCACTTGTCATGTAATGAATGCTTTCCCCAGCGAAGTGCCCTTTTTCTTTGCACATTCACACAAGCTCTTGGGTGTGGAATATAAATTCCTGACTATCAAAACATCTTCCCCAGCCATGTGTGCTGTTGAATGCAAAGAGTTTATAAAGAGAGGGAGTTCATACCTGCTCCCTGACCACAGCCAGCACTTGTCTGAGCTCATTCTGTATTTCATAATTGATTCCCTCCTTCCTGATGATTGCTCAGCAGGCGAGGAACCTAAAGCATTCATCTTCCGTTCTCAAACATGCGCTTGTCTCTGAATCTCCACATTGTACATGTGGGTGTTTATTTTATAATACAAATAATTCATAATTTTGTGTGTTCATTTTATTACCACTGTGTAATTCTACAGTTATATGTTGTGTAATTATGAGCATGCAAAAAAGTGTTGTATTCAAAATTTTAGATGCCTACTATTTTCAAGACTTGCACCCTAATGAATATCAATTCAACACGTCCTTATATGTCATCCTTGATCTTGAAGTCAGTGGGAAGGAATGCTGTGCTTGTGAGGTAGGACCAATGTGATCGCTCGGTGTAGCATCTCAGTGGGATCATTTTACATCTTCTTTTACCACTCAATGCAACCAGAGCATTTAAAGGCAAAGCCTTAGCCATGAGTTCCTTTGAGACAATATATTTTCCTTTTACCTGACAGCTAGTATCCAGGGTATAGGATTGTAATTTCTAAGATTCATAAAGATAGTTTTAAAATAACTTTGCTGAAAGGGAATGAAAGGAAGGATGGTAATCTTAATTTGCTAGTCATGTGTCATAATTTACTGGGAATAATTTGTAAAGAGAATAAAAGCAGCACATAATACCAAATGATTAAGCAGCATAAAGTATGTTGCCATCCACCTACAGTAGTGAGCGTATCACCCTGGAAAAGGGAGTGAATGGCCACAAGTGTGCCCCTGGCACAGCTGTATGGCCTTCTCTAGATGACATCCTGTTCTGATGAACACAGCAACCAAAAGTGTATTTAAGAGCTATTGTTAACCTCAGTCTTCTGCACTGATTTTCACAGATATTATAAAATGTGAATATGATATTGTCAGATGAGCCAGTGCAGCAACTCGGATGCTCATGATGAAAGGTCTGGCCATTAGTCAATATTGTACTTTTTTGCAATTGATTCTTTCAGAATTTATATTAAGTGTAAAAGGGACAAAAATAAGATTCAATACAGCTTAGTTAGAAATAAAGCCACAGTATGAACTCCTGGATGATAAGAATCATGTGTTTGTCCTCTAAACTGGGCTTCACCCCTGGCAAAATAATCCAGGGACTTTGGGTGTCTTAATCCCTGAACTTCAATTTGCTTGTCCTTAAAATGGGGATAACAGAAGTACCTGCCTCAGAGAATTGTGAAAATTTAACAATATGTGTACATTGCTTAGTACAGACCTTATAGGACTTGTTATAGGGCCTTGTTATTATAGTTGCTACTATGACTACTGCTTCCAACATTAAGGGAAAAAAGCTTCACTATAGATCTTGTCTCCATTGTCCATAAAATAGTTCCTATTCTTTCACAGGTCTTCTAACGCTATTATCATCTTATGTGAGCAGCTGAGTTTCCTGTGACTGTACTTCCTGCCCCCTGAACTACAGCCATTGAACTTTCCAGAGCTTTCATATCCCTGCTTTCTCTGCCCCAGAGTCACTTCCTCATTGTTAAGGACTTCCCCACCCCCACCCCCCAATATATTTTTATTGATTTCAGAGAGGAAGGGAGAGGGAGAGAGAGATAGAAACATCAATGATGAATCATTGATCGGCTGCCTCCTGCACGCCCCCTACTGGGGATCGAGCCCGCAACCCGGGCATGTGCCCTGATGGGGGATCAAACTGTGACCTCCTGGTTCATAGGTTGACGCTCAACTGCTGAGCCACACTGACCTGGCAGTTAAGGACTTGTTAACTGTCCCTTCTTTGAAAAGCCGTTCCCAACACTCCTGTGATGTGCCTTGCCCATCCTGTCTGTGTACCAGTTATAACTCATTACCTCATACTGTTGTTACTTGTTTACCTAGCTAGCATCTTTGCTAGTTGTGAAGATCAGAAATCGTTACTTCATCTCCATATTCTTCTGGTGCTTGACACATCAGTCCAACAAGACTGATGAGTCAATGGATCAAACATGAGTAGGAGTACTGTGGATACTAAAAATGTTTTGGAAGATAATTAATGAACATTTATGGTTAATTATTTATTAAAACCTCATTAGTGCCCTAATCGGTTTGGCTCAGTGGATAGAGCGTCGGCCTGCAGACTCAGGGGTCCCAGGTTCGATTCCGGTCAAGGGCATGTATCTTGTTTGTGGGCACATCCCCAGTGGGGAGTGTGCAGGAGGCAGCTGATCGATGTTTCTCTCTCATTGATGTTTCTAACTCTCTATCCCTCTCCCTTCCTCTCTGTAAAGAATCAAAATATATTTTAAAAATAAATAAATAAAACCTTATTAGTGAAGACCAATGACATCAGAAGACATTTTTTATTTACTTCTGGTTCATCTGTAGAACACATTTAATATGATCCTTTGTGAAAATTGATCTTGCTGTTCTGTTTTTCTTTCATCCTTCAGGTTCTAATTATAGCCACCCTTGCCATAACTTTTGATTTATATTTGGAAAAATACTATCCAGAAAAAAATGATAAAATTCTTCCTCATGGTGAATAAACAAGGGCAGACCCGGCTGTCTAAGTACTATGAGCACGTGGATATTAATAAGCGTACAATTCTGGAAACAGAAGTCATCAAGAGCTGTCTCTCTCGATCCAGTGAACAAGTAAGTTTCCAATTCTCTTTATCTCTGCATTCAACTCAGCGGTGGCATATCTGTTACTACCATGTTTCAGGGGGCATTGTTTTCTTTGAACTACATTCTTTCAACAGCTATTAGGGAAAATAATAAGTGAAATGAAGGCTGAAGCATAGCTCTCCTTACATCCCTTTAAGGAAAATGAAAACAAAGCAAACCAGAAAAAGTCTTGGGTTCATATTTAGGTCAGCATATTTGTCTCAATGCAACATGGAAGTGGCACCTCAAACTTGTTCCTGCTGATAGACATACCTTCTTTTTTTGTTTGTATGAACTCAACCCTTGGAACTCTTAGGAGCACTTGTAGCAGGTGGTTTTCTTTAAGCCAAAAGTTGAAGATCAGATGACCAGTATAGAGGTAAACATTCAAGACACACTTTGCGCCAGAGAATAATAATATGATTCTCATATATGGTGCAGTTTTCTTCTGCTTATTATTTTTGTGAATTTGCCACCAACATAATACTGGAACTAGTGATTTTAAAACAAACTTGATTTGACCTGTGTTCTTTTATTATCTAGATAAGAGAAATGGAAGTTAAAAAAAAAAAAAAAGAAACAACAAATCCATTCATTCAGCCAAAATTAAGGTTAAATTAAATCATTAAATAATTTAGAGGACGGCGAAGATGGCAACCAGCAGGAAGGCAGGGAGGGAGAGTGTGAGAGCACGAGGGAGTGATAGAGGAGTATGTGGATGTGTGTGGTGTGTGTGTGTATGAGCTAGGGACAGTTAGATTCTGCAGGTCTTCTAAGGGGCTGCTAAACCAGGCAGTCTTAGATGGCGGAGCCCCGCTCACTGCACAGACACTACTGGGCAGCCAGCATGGGAACAGAGACTACACCATCTTGAGAAACAGAGCTGCTTGAGACTAGGATCCTGGCCTCAGCACCACCCAGTCTGGTCTCAGACACAAACCAGGACCCTGCAGCCACTGGGGACAGAGACCTGCGACCACAGCTACAGAACCACGGACAACAAGAGTCCAGAAATCCCCGAGGCAGATCCGTGAGTAATAGAGCCCATCCCCCTCCCCGCAGCTCACGGGCAGCGCCATAGTAACTGATAGACCCACCCCTTGCCTGGGCCTCAGTGCTGCTGCAGGGACCTTAGCCTGGAAACTTGTCCCTTGGAGCGCAGGCTAAGGGAGCCTTGGCCGGGAAGTGCGCGAACACCGGGAACTTGCCCAGCACAGCACAGGCTAAGGAAGCCTTGGCCTGGGAGCTAACGCGCAAACACTGGAAACTTGTTCCTCGCAGCACGGGCCCCAGGGCCCCAATTCTCCGGGCAGGAGGCAACATCAAGCACCAGTGACTTGACTGTGTTTCTTATCACCTGCGCCTGGAATCCCTGATTCCCTGTACATTCATACTAAGAGCCAGTGACTCTAATTCTTGGTGCAAGTTCACACAGGGACCCTGATTCTCAATGCAAGTCTTCGCGAAGCAACAGAGACTCTGATACTGGATTCTTGGGGAACTCTGACTCCTGGTGCACGCTAGAGGGTTCTGATTTTCAACACACTCCAGGGGGATCTCTGTTTCAGCACGGTGCAGGCGGGGTCCCTGATTCTAAGTGCACACACGAGGCCACATTGAGCGCTAGTAACACTGACTCTGAGCGAGCCTGGTTCCCACCAACCCACCACAACCACACATCTTAGTGTCAGAGCTCTTCAGTGACACTAGGGTGGTGCAAAGCTCCCACTGCACACGGCCCAGGCCCACACAACTCAACATTTGAACCAGCTGGAGATAGTCAGAATGGGGAGACGACAATCCCCAGAGGAAAGAAAATGAGGAGTCGCCAAGAAATGAAATTGAAGCGTGCAACATGACAGAAAAAGAATTCAGAGTAATGGTTGTACAATTCATTCACTGGATGATGAGAAAATCAACAACCTATGCAAGAATCAGGAAGAAATGAAAAGTGATATAGCTACAATCAAAAACACAATGGAAGGTTTCAACAGTAGACTAGAAGACGCAGAGGGCCGAATTAGTGAGTTAGAAGATAAGGTAGAGAAACAAGCTCAATCTGAACAGCAACTGGAGAAAAAAATTAAAAAGCAGGAGGAGAGCCTAAGGGAGCTTTGGGACAATATGAAACGAAGTAACATATGCATAATAGGGCTGCCAGAAGGACAAGAAGAGCAGCAAGGTTTAGAAAATCTATTTGAAGAAATAATGACAGAAAACTTCCCAGATATGGGGAAGAAAAAAGTTACACAAGTACAGAGAGTCCCAGGCAAGATGAACCTCAAAAGACCCACGCCAAGACACTTCATAATAATGATGGCAAATGTACACGACAAAGAGAGAATCTTAAAGGCTGCAAGAGAGAGACAGAGAGTTACCTACAAAGGATCCCCCATCAGATTATCAAATGATTTCTCAACAGAAACACATCAAGCTAGAAGGGAATGGAGAGAGGTATACAAAGTGTTGCAAAGCAAAGGACTGAATCCAAGAATACTCTATCCAGCAAGACTATCAATCAAAATTGAAAGGGAAATCAGAAACTTTGCAGATGAAAAAAGGCTAAAGGAGTTTATCACTACCAAGCCAGCAATGCAAGAAATTTCAAAGGGAATGCTGTAAAAAGAAGAAATATAAAGGTAAGAAAGAACACAGGCACAAAAATAAAAATGACTACAAGCAAGTACCTTTCAATAATAACTTTAATTGTAAATGGACTAAATGCTCCAATCAAAAGACATCGAGTGGCTGAATAGATAAAAAGACATGACCCATATATATGCTGTCTACAAGAGACCCACCTCAGAACAAGGGACTTACACAGACTGAAAGTTAAGGGATGGAAAAATATCTTTCCGGCAAATGGAAATGAAAAAAAAGCTGGGGTAGCAATACTTATATCTGACAAAATAGACCTCAAAGTGAAGGCCATAATAAGAGATAAGGAAGGCCACTTCATAATACTAAAGGGATCGATACAACAAGAGGATATAACCCTGATAAACATGTATGCACCCAATGCAGGAGCACCCAAATACATAAAAAACCTCCTGGAAAATAACAAGGGAGAGATCAAAAACAACACAATCATAGTAGGGGACTTAAACACACCACTGACATCACTAGATAAATCCTCTAGAAAAAAAATAAGCAAAGAAACAGCAATCCTAAATGACTCACTAGATCAGATGGACTTAATTGACATCTTCAGAACATTTCACCCCAAAACCACGGAATATACGTTCTTCTCAAGTGCACATGGGACATTTTCAAAAATAGACCACATATTGGGTCACAAACAAAGTCTCCCCAAATTCAAGAAGATTGAAATCATACCAAGCATCTTCTCAGACCACAATGCCATATAATTAGAAATAAACTACAATAAAAACAATCCAAAAAACTCAAACACTTGGAAGCTAAATAGCATGCTACTAAATAATGATTGGGTTACCAATGAGATCAAAGAAGAAATTAAAAACACCCTCGAAACTAATGACAATAACAGCACAACAATCCAAAATCTATGGGACACAATGAAAGCAGTCCTGAGAGGGAAGTTTATAGCACTACAGGCCTACATCAAAAAACAAGAAAAAATGATAGTAAATCATCTAACTCTACAACTCAAAGAATTAGAAAGAGAACAACAACAAAAGCCCAGAGTGAGCAGAAGGAAGGAGATAATAAAGATCAGAGCAGAAATAAATGACAGAGAGACCAGAAAAAAACAATACAAAAGATCAATGAAACCAAGAGCTGGTTCTTTGAAAGGATAAACAAGATTGATGAGCCCCTAGCCAGGCTCACCAAGAAACAAAGAGAGAGGACTCAAATAAACAAAATCAGAAATGAACGAGGCGAAATAACAACAGACCCCACAGAAATTCAAAGAATTGTTAAAAAATACTATGAACAACTCTACTCCAACACACTAGACAACCTGGAGGAAATGGACAAATTCCTAGAAAAATACAACATTCCAAAACTCAATCAGGAAGAATCTAAAAATCTCAATAAGCCAATAATTATGGAAGAAATTGAAGTAGTCATCAAAATGCTCCCAACAAACAAAAGCCCAGGGCCAGACGGCTTTACAGGGGAGTTTTACCAAACATTCAAGGAAAAACTAAAACCTATCCTCCTCAGACTATTCCAAAAAATTCAAGAGGAAGGAACACTTCCAAGCTCATTCTATGAAGCCAGCATCACCCTAATAGCAAAACCAGATAAAGACAACACAATGAAAGAGAATTATAGGCCAATATCCCTCATGAAAATAGATGCCAAAATACTCAACAACATTCTAGCAAATCAGATCCAGCAATACATCAGAAAGATCATACACCATGACCAAGTAGGATTTATCCCAGGATGCAAGGATGGTACAATATCTGCAAATCAACAAACGTGATACATCACATAAACAAATCGAGAGATAATTGATAGTCATATCAATTGACACAGAAAAAGCATTTGACAAAATTCAACACCCTTTCTTGATAAAAACTCTCAGCAAGATGGGAATAGAAGGATCATACCTCAACATAATAAAAGCCATACATGACAAACCACAGCCAACATCATACTCAGTCGTCAAAAATTAAAACCATTTCTCCTAAGAACAGGAACAAGACAGGAATGCCCACTCTCACCACTCCTGTTCAACATAGTACTGGAAGTACTAGCCATTGCGATCAGACAAGAAGAAGAAATAAAAGGCATCCAAATTGGAAAAAAAAGAAGTGAAACTGTCCTTATTTGCAGATGACATGATACTGTACACAGAAAACCCTAAAGACTCCATCAAAAAATTATTAGACTTAATAAATGAATTTGGCAATGTAGCAGGATACAAAATTAATGCCAAGAAATCTATGGCATTTCTTTACACCAGTAGTGAACTTATAGAAAGGGAAAGTAAAAAAGCAACCCCATTTACCATCACACCAAAAAAATTAAGATACTTAGGAATAAACTTAACTAAGGAGGTAAAAGACTTATATGCAAAAAACTACTGGACACTGAAAGAAGAGATAGAGGAAGATGTAAACAGATGGAAGAACATACCGTGTTCATGGATTGGTAGAATCAACATCATCAAAATGTCCATACTAGCCAAAGCAATCTATAAATTCAATGCACTTCCCATTAAATTACCAACAGCATATTTCACAGATCTAGAACGAACGTTCCAAAAATTCATCTGGAATAAAAAAAGGCCTCGAATAGCTGCAGCAATCCTGAGAAAGAACAAAGTAGGTGGGATCTTAATACCAGATATCAAGCTGTATTACAAAGCCACTATTCTTAAAACAGCTTGGTACTGGCACAAGAACAGACATATAGATCAATGGAATAGAATAAAGAACCCAGAAATCGACCCAAACCACTATGCCCAATTAATATTCGACAAAGGAGGCAAGAGCATACAATGGAATCAAGACAGTCTCTTCAATAAATGGTGTTGGACAGATACATGCAAAAGATGAAACTAGACCACCAACTCACACCATACACAAAAATAAACTCATAATGGATAAAGGACTTAAACGTAAAATTGGAAACCATAAAAATACTAGAGGAATCCACAGGCAACGAAATCGCAAACATAGGCTGAAGGAATTTCTTCTCTGATACTGCTCCTAGGGCAATGGAAACTAAAGAGAAAATAAACAAATACAACTACATCAAAATAAAAAGTTTTTGCACAGCAAAGGAAACCATCAACAAAACAACAAGAAAGCCCACTGCATGGGAGAACATATTTGCCAGTGATATCACCGATAAAGGTTTATTCTCCAACATTTACAGGGAACTCATGCAACTTAACAAAAGGAAGATAAACAATCCAACCAAAAAATGGGCAACAGACCTAAATAGACACTTTTCAATAGAGGACATACAGAAGGCCGAAAGACATATGAAAACATGCTCAAAGTCACTAATTACAGGAGAGATGCAAATCAAAACGACAATGCGGTATCATCTCACACCTGTCATAATGGCTATCATCAACAAATCAACAAACAGCCGAAACCGGTTTGGCTCAGTGGACAGAGCATCGGCCTGCGGACTGAAAGGTCCCAGGTTCGATTCCGGTCAAGGGCATGTACCTGGGTTGCGGGCACATCCCCACTGGGGGATGTGCAGGAGGCAGCTGATCGATGTATCTCTCTCATCAATGTTTCTGACTCTCCCTCTCCCTTCCTCTCTGTAAAAAATCAATAAAATATATTAAAAAAAAAAACACAAATCAACAAACAACAAGTGTTGGAGAGGATGTGGAGAAAAACGAACACTCGTGCACTGCTGGTGGGAATGCAGACTGGTGCAGCCACTGTGGAGAAAAGTATGGAGTTTCCTCAAAAAACTAAAAATGGAACTTCCATTTGACCCAGTGATTCCACTTCTAGGAATATATCCCAACTAGCCAGAAACACCAATCAGAAAGGATATATGCACCCATATGTTCATAGCAATACAATTCACCATAGCTAAGATTTGGAAACAGCCTAAGTGCCCATCAGTAGATGAATGGATTAGAAAACTGTGGTACATCTACACAATGGAATACTACGCTGCGGTAAAAAAGAAGGAATTATTGCCATTTGCAACAGCACGGGTGGAACTGGAGAGCATTATGCTAAGTGAAATAAGCCAGTCAGAGAAAGATAAATACCACATGATCTCACTCATTTGTGGAATATAGAGAACAACATAGACTGGTGAACAGGGACAGATCCAAAGACAGAGAAACAGGGATCAGACTATCAATACCCAGAGGGAAAGTAGGGGAGGGAGGGGGAAAAGGGGAGAGATCAACCAAAGGACTTGTATGCATGCATATAAGCCAAACCAATGGACACGGACAACAGGGGGATGAGAGCATGAGTGGGGGGCGGGCGGGGAGGTTGGGGGTTAATGGGAAATGAGCACACATTTGTAATACATTAACCAATAAAGAAATTTTTAAAAAAATCATTAAATAATTTTAAAATGGGAATTTTTTAAAACTGAGTTTACATTTACAAAGAACTTTGGATAATTATTTAATCCAGGTCCTAAACTTTGAATCTATTGGAAATCACTGAACAAACTGAGGCAAAATCAGAAACCTTGTTAAAAACACCCATTCATTTTGCCAGTTCTCCAGTTCACTGCCTAGGTAGAAAGGCTGGCTGTGGGGACCACTGCTAAGTCATAAATATTAAGCTACATCAGTGCTTCAGAAGTTAATGCGTTGGAACTGTGTTTCCCTTGTCTTTTAAATTGATTTTCCATTTGGAACATCTCAAGAGTTTTCTTTGTATTACTATTTTGCCCTGCCATGGTACACACTGCTTTGCCTAGTTGTCAAAGGAAACAGGAACTATTAAAGGACTTTGTTAATAGCCACATAATTTAAGTAAAAGTAGGCACACTCCAGAAGCACTCATGCTTGAATCTTCCTATAATTTCAACTCCATAATTTCAAACACCCCTTTCACTGCAAGGTTATTCTTGTTAAATATGCACTTTTGTATAAATATACTGTTAGATATTTTTGAAGCTCTCTAAATTATTTTAGACTTTAATAAGTATCCACTGGTGTTTTGTCATAATCAAGCACAATCTCAGCTTAGTTTATATTTTATCCTCAAAGTGCTTTGCTACTTTTAAAAAATACATATATTTTTTATTGATTTCAGAGAGGAAGGGAGAGGAAGAGGGAGAGAGAGATAGAAACATCAATGATGAGCCCTAGCTGGTTTGGGTCAGTGGATAGAGCGTCGGCCTGCAGACTGAAGGGTCCCGGGTTCAATTCTTGTCAAGGACACATGTGGACTCGATCCCCAGTAGGGGCCATGCAGGAGGCAGCCAATCAATGATTCTCATCACTGATGTTTCTATCTCTCTTTCCTTCTCCCTTCCACTCTGAAATCAATAAAAATTAAAAACAAAAACAAAGAAAAAATATATATATATACACACACACATATCTATATATATAAAAGCCTAAGCAACCGAACGACCGGTTGACTAGTCGCTATGATGTGCACTGACCACAGGAGCTCAACCCAGGAGCTGCCCCCTGGTGGTCAGTGCGCTCCCACAACCAACCTCCCGCAGCAGGCCAACCTCCCACAGTCCCTCAGCCAGCAGACCTATATTGGCCCTGATCGGCCCCGATTGCCAACCAGGCCGAAGGACCATACCCATGCACGGATTCGTGCACTGGGCCTCTATTATAATATATAAAAAGAAACATCAGTAATGAGAATCATTGATCATCTGCCTCCTGCATGCCCCCTATTGGGGATCAAGCCTGCAACCCAGACATGTGACCTGACCCAGGAATTGAACTGTGACCTCCTGATTCATAGGTTGACGCTGAACCACTGAGCCACACCAGTTGGGTGCTTGATACTTTTTTTAAATGTCAAAAACTTCTGAGAAGCTTTGAAAATGTTCCTCAGTTCATTCAAATAGGTTGTGTTTCCTTGAAAGATCCAACTGAGTACAAACCACCCTGGCTCTAGAGTTAGCCAAAGGCTGCAGAATGGTCCTGCACTTATTACCTTTATCCTAATTTTAAATAAAAGCCTCACCTCCTCCATTTTATAATTTGTCAGGTGGCTTCCATGGAAGAAATTCCATGATCAAAATGTGCAACTTCATTCTCAGGTGCATCCGGGCAGCCAAGAGCAACATCTTCAGTGCAAAAAGCCGTACACTCACTCACGTTGGGCAAGCACACCCAAAGTCCAAGGGAAGGGCAGCAGTGTGCTTTCAGTTGGCTCCCCAGTTCCTGTCCACCCAGTGCCATCCCATTATCCTTTGTACAGTGACTGTAAGAGAGAAATAAATGGGCAGGGAGTTGTTTTATCCACAAGTCAGTGATGGTAAGCTAGTTATGAATTCGTATGAGGCAGTGTTTACAATGAAAGATTTATCTAGCATTTGCTACACAAAAACCATCTTTATTTTTTCTTTATTTTTTAAAATATATTTTTATTGATTTCAGAGAGCAAGGGAGAGGGAGAGAGATAGAAACATCAATGATGAGAGATAACCATTGATCAGCTGCCTCCTGAACGCCCCCTACTGGGGGATCGAGCCTGCAACCCAGACATGTACTCCTGACCAGAATCTAACCAGGGACCCTTCAGTCCGCAGGCCGACGCTCTATCCACTGACCCAAACCAGCTAGGTCTCAAAAGCCACCTTTAAATGATTTATAAAAGAGTCTACATTGATTCTATGGAGATAGGAAAAAGAAATAGAGATTTTATTTATTTATTTATTTATTTATTTATTTATTTATTTATTTTTGGCATGGGTGTCTGCTACATATATTTGGTTCTTCAGCGACGGTTAAATAGTACAAAACTGAATCTTTAATTGTTTCCCAAAAAACCTAGGGGAGGTGAAAAGAAGAAAATCTTTATTGTGTTGGGTTATTTCACATGGCAGACAGTGTAAAATGCTGAGTATTCAGTAGTTTTGCCTGCTGAGTTCCACACAGAGCCCACTAAGGAATGGGAAGGAGCACAGGTGGGAACCCGTGGGAACACTGAGCCCTTGTCCCAAGACCACTTCTTCACCTCCCACTAGAGATGCTTCTAAGTCGTCCCCTCAGTGTTGTGAGGAGAGACCAGCAAAGGCGTGTAACATTTTAATGTGCATTTCTAAGAATGTGTTGACAAGCATTCAAATCAGAAGCTAAAATTATGCGAGCCATTTTGAGGAAATCCATTTCAACCGTAGGAATTAATATGTAATTGTGTTTTGTCTAGTGCTCTTTCGTTGAATATAAGGACTTTAAGCTGATATATCGGCAGTATGCAGCTCTCTTCATCGTGGTTGGAGTTAATGACACCGAGGTAAGATAACAGAAGAGCCTATGGTAGATGCCAGGAAGTTAGGCCTAACAGTCTGGTTTTTATTCCTGCTCACACTGACATTTTCTTCCCTACTTGCCTCTCTAAGAATTACCTTGGCTGTTTGCAGGATTTTGGTTTCTCTCAGGGCTAGGGAAAGCTGTGTGGAAGAGAAATAGCTTGGATTTTTATTGGATTACTAGTAAATGAGCATCATGTAGAGAAGCACAAAACCACAGAGGGCCTTCCTCAACCCAAAGCAATACTGGTGTCCTGCCCTTGTCCCGTGGTGCACAGTGGGGCAGTTTAGACAAGCGTAGTGGCCAAGCTGTTGTGGCTTTAAACATAGGCTGACATGTCAGAGGCCAGAGCAAACTGTGAATATGATTCTGTTGTGATTATGTCTCCTCAGATTTAAGTTCACCTTTTCAGAAAAGTCAGGCCCAATCAACAGCACCTTTGGCCATGGACTCTCTGAAAGGGGTGTGATCTAAAATACTTTGAAGTCTCAGTTTTTTATCTGTGAACAAAACTTTGAGGTAGTTTCCGCATATTCACAAGTGGAAAAGTGATGGATGAAGAAACTGAAAAATTGCTTCAGCCAGTTGGTGGTGAAGTCAGGGAGTAGAGCTCAGAATTCTGCACTAGACTTGGTCCGGTTTCAGTCCAGCTAGATTCATTATGGACATTAAAAAAACCTTAGTGGTGACGGCTTTCTACATTTCTCCTCTTAATAAACTTCTTTTAAACAAGTGAGTTATAAAACTGTTCTGAACAGTTGTCCATGGGAAGCTGCCTTGCTCACATCTGCATACCACGCCGTGTGCCGGGCAGCTCCGAGTCACACGTGGGCCACACTAAAACCGAATGCATCCTTCCTTTTTTATTTCAGAACGAGATGGCAATTTATGAATTCATCCATAACTTTGTGGAAGTTTTAGATGAGTACTTCAGCCGAGTGGTAAGTCTAATGACTAAAGCAGGGTTTTCGTCCTCAGGCCCATTTCCCAGAATGGGTTCTATATCAAGAACATGTGTTAATATAGAGCTTTAACATGTAAACGTTAAAACTCAAATGCTGGCAGATTTTCTTTACCTTTCCTTCTGGCTCATGCAGAGTGTTCTGAACCTATGTATGCCTTAGTTCTTTATAAAGAACCATTTCTACAAGACTAAGAACATTTTATGTATTTCTCAGTTAAGAGATTTTGCTATCTAATTTGCTTTCTCTTTTCTTTCTTGTGCTTCCCCTTGTTAAATACTAGGTATCTTTTTAATTTAAGTCATGGAAATTAAATTAAATTAAACCCTTGCTTTGAAGATCAAAACCAACTCCTCTTAAGGAATACATGAGTTCCTTTCCAACAGTTCTACTTAAAAAAACAAAAACAGCTGTATTGAAATATAATTTACATACTATACAATTCACCCTCTTAAATATGTAATTTTTAGTATTTACATTATCTGGGATACAAAGTTGTGCAACCATCACCACAATCAATTTTAGAGTATTACATCACCCCAGAAAGAAACACAATACTCCTTAGCATTTCCCTCCCACTTACCTCTCTCCACCTGCTCCAGGTCCTAGGAAGCCAGTAATCTACTTTCTGTCTCTATAAGTTTACCTATTCTTTTTTTTTTTTTTTTTTAATATATTTTATTGATTTTTTACAGAGAGGAAGGGAGAGAGATAGTTAGAAACATCAATGAGAGAGAAACATTGATCAGCTGCCTCCTGCACACCCCCCAATGGAGATATGCCCGCAACCCAGGTACATGCCCCTGACCGGAATCGAGCCTGGGACCCTTCAGTCCGCAGGCTGACGCTCTATCCACTGAGCCAAACCAGCCAGGGCTATAAGTTTACCTATTCTATGGTTTACCTGTTCTAGACATTTTATATAAATAGATTTGTACCAAGAAGATTAACATGACCCCCACACAAGGATGACATGCAAATTCCTGAATAGAATTGTACAATATGTGGTCTTTTGTGGCTGGCTTTTTTTTTAACCTAACATTTTCAAGATTCATCAGTGTTGTAGCATGTACTAGTATTAGTAATTCTTTCCTTTTTATTGCCAAATAATCTTTCACCCTATGGATATACCACAATTTGCTTATCCACTCTTCAGTTGATGGGCATTGGGTTATGTATACTTTTTGGCTATTGTGAATAATGTTGCTATGAACAGCTGTGAACACATTTTTCTGTGGAATCATCTTTTTCCTTCTCTTGGGTATATACCTAGGACTGGAATTGTTGGATTATATGGTAACTCCATGTATACCATTTTGAATTGGTGCAGCCACTATGGAAAACGGTATGGAGGTTCCTCAAAAAATTAAAAATAGAACTACCATATCACCCAGCAATCCCACTTCTGAATATATATCCAAAAAAATCCAAAACAGTAATTCAAAAAGATAATATGCACCCCTGTGTTCATTGCAGCATTTCAACAATAGCCAAGATATGGAAGCAACATAAGTGTCCATCAATAGATGATTGGATAAAGAAGATGTGGCACATATACACAATGCATATTACTCAGCCAAAAAGAAGAATGAAATCTGTCCAGGGATTGTTGCTCACTGATTAAGTGTCGGCCTGTGAACCAGATCCTGGTTTGATTCCCCATCAGGGCACATGCCCAGGTTGTGGACTCGATCCCCAGTGATTCTGTCTCATCATTGATGTTTCTGTCTCCCTCTCTCACTCTCTCTTCCTCTCTGAAATCAATAAAAATTTATATATATATTTTATTATATATATTTTTTATTGATTTTTTACAGAGAGGAAGGGAGAGGGATAGAGAGTTAGAAACATCGATGAGAGAGAAACATCGATCAGCTGCCTCCTGCACACTCCCCACTGGGGATGTGCCTGCAACCAAGGTACATGCCCCTGACCGGAATCGAACCTGGGACCCTTCAGTCCACAGGCCGACGCTCTATCCACTGAGCCAAACCAGTTAGGGCAATAAAAATGTATATATTTTTAAAAAATCAGTTGTCCATAAATGTAAGGGTTTATTTCTAGACTTTCAATTCTGTTCCAATTATTTGTATGTTTATCCTTCTGCCAGTACCACACTGTCTTCCTGACTTTAGCTTTGTAGTTAGTTTGAAATAGTGTTTTAAAAGAATCAGTAAAGATGTTTCACTCTGTTACGTAGGCCTTCCCCTGCCTTGGTTAGACATTCTTGAGAAGTAGAGGTAGCACAGGATGATTTTTCCAAGTTGTTTTGTTTATTACATTTTGCTTTTATTTTTATTTATTTATTTTTTAAATATATATTTATTGATTTCAGAGAGGGAGAGGGAGAGATAGAAACATCAATGATGAGAGAGAATCATTGATCGGGCTTCCTTCTACATGCCCCGTACTAAGGATAGAGCCTGCAACCTGGGCATGTGCCCTTGACTGGAATCGATCCCAGGACCCTTCAGTCCACAGGCTGACGCTCTATCCACTGAGCCAAACCAGCTAGGACTCATTTTGCTTTTAAATAAAATTATTAGGAAGGAATTGTTTCCAACTTGCTTCTTCCTGAGACAGTGAGTGAAATCCATAGTTAGTAATACTGAGTGCCATGAAGCCTGCTTAGGACAAAACTCATGTTAACAAGTTATATCTTCAGTCTAACTCCTTCTAATGCCAGAAGTAGCGTTTGGCAGACTCCTTCATGGGACAGTTATCCAGCCTGTCTTCACTGCCTTGGTGCAGAGGTCTGTGTGTGGTGCCTGGCCGAGCAGCATAGGCATCACCTGGGAACTTGTAAGACAACTCCGGACCCACCCCAGTCTGTTGGATTAGAAACCCTGGGCTGAAGCCCAGCAGTTGGTGTTTTAACAAGCTTTGCAGTGATTCTGATGCATGCTTACCGTCTGATTCAGATGTTGGAGCTGGGGAGCTGCCTAGTGGCCTTCGACACCATAATGCAGCGGTTCTCAACCTGTGGGTCGCGACCTCTTTGGGGGTCGAACGACCCTTTCACAGGGGTCGCCTAAGACCATTGGAAAACACATATATAATTACATGTTGTTTTTGTGATTAATCACTATGCTTTAATTGTGTTCAATTTGTAACAATGAAAATACATCCTGCATATCAGATATTTACATTACGATTCATAACAGTAGCAAAATTACAGTTACAAAGTAGCAACGAAAATAATTTTATGGTTGAGGGTCACCACAACATGAGGAACTGTATTAAAGGGTTGCGGCATTAGGAAGGTTGAGAACCACTGCCAAAATGTATCTAACTAGGAAGGATCGGTGGCCTCCAGACTGGAAGAGGGCAAGAGGTTGGGCCATTCCAGATGCTGGCTTGAGGGGACAGAGAGCATTGAGGCTGGCTTTAAAATTCATCTTTGTATTGATTGTTTGGAGAGAGTACTGTCAACCAACAATATCCAAAAGAACTTTTCAGTAGCCATAGAAATGTCTGCACTTGTGCCATCCAATGCGGTAGGCGCCAGCTACATGCGGCTTTTAGACACTTAAAATGTGATTAGTGTAAATGAGGAATTTTAAATTTTTTTAATTTTAATTTAAATCACCACATGAGGCTAGTGGTTACTGTATTGGACAGCGTAACTCTAGCTCAGTGGTTCTCAACCTTCTGGCCCTTTAAATACAGTTCCTCATGTTGTGACCCAACCATAAAGTTATTTTCGTTGCTACTTCATAACTGTAATGTTGCTACTATTATGAATCGTAATGTAAATATCTGATATGCAGGATGGTCTTAGGCGACCCCTGTGAAAGGGTTGTTTGACCGCCAAAGGGGTCGCGGCCCACAGGTTGAGAACCTCTGCTCTAGCTCCTGCTATCTCCAAAGGACCACCCTGTTAAGACAGGCTGGTTGCAAATCAAACCCTGTAATTCAGGGCTGGCCATGATTAGCCACTTTAAGGGAACACCTACCAAGAAGAATATAATTTCCCAAATTGGCAATGTTTTAAACCTGGGAGACTAAAGAGTGGGTGCAAGCACTATCATTTCTAAGGTTTTTAAAATTATTATTGTTATATTCAGTAACTGAGCATAAATAGCATGTTGCTGAATTGGGCTGTAATTCTAGGGAGAGTCAGTGACCACATAAACCACAGAGGTAAAGATCAGAATTTAATTTAAACCTGGTGATTATATAGGCCTTGGAGGACCTGGGTTTAGGAAGACAGTAGTAGCAAAAAGAAGAGAAAGAGGAGGGAAAAGAGTACTATGGGAAAGAAAATAGAAACTGTCCCACTCATGGTGAATGCCTTGTCATCTAAAATTATTTTTAGGTTTCTGAGTTTTAAACAATCTTTTTGGGACTATTTTTAATCTTAGGGTTTCCAAATCTTAAATTTGGAGATCAGTCTCATGCTGCTGTCTGCGCTGAAAGAAGCATCTCAGCATCACATTTCAAAACAAAAGGCCAACTCAATCAGCGCTAATGGAGGCAGTTTGCAAAAGCTGAGGCTGCTGCTGAGGAAGTGGGAGCAGGGATGTCAGTGCTGCCTGTGTCAGACTGAAGTCCTTTCAGATAATGGGTTTGGCTCTTTGCTTGTCTCCTCCCTCTATGAATATCTATGTTCATTGAAAAAAAATTAAAAATACATACAAGCAAAAGAAAGGAGAGAAGATCATCAGTAAGTCCATCACTTATTGGTAAATGTCCTTTCAGGCTCTTTAAATGTCTATCTAACTGTCTCTCTCTCTCTCTCTCTCTCTCTCTCTCTCTCTCTCTCTCTCTCTCTCTCTGTAAATGGTAAGTGCCATGGACAGGAAAACAATTATATATATACTAGAGGACTGGTGCACGAAATTTGTGTTCCTTAGCCTGGCCTGCGCCTTCTTGCAGTCTGGGAGCCCTCGGGGGATGTCCAACTGACATAGAGGCGGGAGAGGCTCCCGCCACCACTGCTGTGCTTGCCAGCCATGAGCCTGGCTTCTGGCTGAGTGGCACTCCCCTTGTGGGAGCATATTGACCCCCAGGGGGCAGCTCCTGTGTTGAGCGTCTGCCCCCTGGTGGTCAGTGCACATCATAGCAACCGGTTGTTCTGCTGTTTGGTCAATTTGCATATTAGCCTTTTATTATATAGGATATATGGGATAATTCTGGATGTAACATACATATAACTTGCTTTTTATTCAACAGTATGTCAGTACATATACATCTGCATCATCATTTGTAGATCTGCTATAATGTTTTTAACTAGCCCCCCTAATTTTCAATAATTTGCTGTTATAAGCATTACCCTGAATATCCTATCATACATTGTTGTGCCATTATCTAATTATTTCCTTAAGATAAACTCCCAGGAGTAAAATTGATGGATTAAAGGGTATATACATTATTAAGGTTTTTTATAAACCTATCAAAAATTGCCTATCATCTGTAAAAGCTGAGTTAGTTTATCCCCTCTATGTTCTAAGGATAACTGTTCTAGTCTATAAAAATGCAGCCCTTTTTTAAAAGAATCACAATCCTAAACTCAGGGCCTTCTGGTCTCACACTTCTGCACCCAGAGCAGCCGCTCCCACTGCTTCCAGATGTGTGGCCAGAGCAGCCCTAACTCTGCTAAGTGCATTCTGTCCCGATGTCTCATTCTCATGCATGCACTCTTTTCTCTTCCAGAGTGAATTAGACGTATCCTTTTTCAAAGCTGTGAGTCAAGCTTTCCACAGTATTTGGCAAAACACAGGCTAGTCTTTACCAGGTAAGTGCCATGGGCAGAAAAACAATTAGGCAGAATCTAGATTCCAGAATCCAGAATGCTAGTCATCAGTGACCAGAACATGAAAGCCAGAGGTACAGCTGCTTTGTAGAAACACCTGCCTTTTTTGCAAAGACAATTCTTATTAAGATTTTTGTATGTTTCAGACAAGGCAGTTCTGTGGTAGTAGTTATAATAACTGTTATATATTAATTTAACTTCTCTTAAGTATACAGGATAGACCTTTTTAGAATTTAAGTAACACAGACAGAAAGTGCGTGGTCCTTGTAGAGAGAATGGATTTTCATGGCTCCAGGTATAAATCTCCAGAAATTCCCCACATGGTCAGAGTAAGTCTTCAGGGGTGATACAGCAGAGGGTTAAAGAAGTTGGCTGGCTCACCTTCATTTCCTTTTATAGCAGAGAATGCTCTCCTTTTCTTCTCTTCTCCCTTTTGCAGTATTTTTTCTAAATTTATCTTTATTATTGAAAATATTACATATGTCCCTCATTTTTCCCCATTGACCCCCCCTTAACCCAATACCAGCCTCTCCCCCCGCCCCAAGGCCTTCCCCACACTATTGTCTGTGTCCATGGTTATGCATGTATTCATATAAGTTCTTATGTTAATCTCTCCCTACCTATCCCCCCACCCAGCATTCCCTCTGAGATGCCACAGTCTGTTCCATGCTTCTATATCTCTGGATGTGTTTTGTTCATCAGTTTGTTTTATTCATTAGATTCTTCTCCCTTTTAAATCAAAGTATTCAAGGCCCCAACAACAAGCATGATTTGCTTAGAATACTGCAGGCCTGCAGACTGTGGCAGGAGCCCACTAGGTATGTGTGAGTGCTCTGGAGGGAAATTGACTTTCAAAAATTTGCTTACCACTTGACAGCAATAATAAAAGAGTCCTCTGAGAAAACATCAGGCTTAAATCTAAAATAGTTACACTAATTATGACAAGTAGATATTAATTATAATGTGCTTATGTATATGTTGGTATACATACATTTAGACATGTATGCCCAGAGTCAGGATATTCTGCAGAAATAGCCATTTACCTTTAACTAGTGATAGAAAATGTCATCATGTTGATAAACTTCATTTTCAGGCTGTATTTGAAAGCCTCTTTAAATTAACTGGGAAAATCTACATGCCCTCTAAAGGTGAGTGACCTAAATCTAGGACCCCTTTGACTTAGGAGACCCGAGACCACGCTGTATATTAGCATGTAACCTTCCATTTTAACTCAGCCCTTTAAAGCAATTCAAGATAAATCTCTTCCTCCTTGTACAGGGGAATAAGAAGTTGCCTTTTTACTTCAAGGAAGATAGTGAAAGCTGATAGACACTTCCCTGGGAATACAGAACCCAAGTTCCACTTTTGGTCCTACCACCAGTTAGCTGTGTGTTGGACAAGGCACACAACCTCTCATCTCAAAATGATTGAATTAGACTAGAAGAGCTTTAAAGTCCTCAGCCTTAATATTTGATGTTGCTATGACTCTAGGTAACTGAGCTGAGTTACCTTACACCTGGAACAGGAGAGGAGAGTCCTACAAGGTTAGATATTCAGAGAATTAAAGTGAGTCAGATGTAACAGGATATGTAGTACAGTTGGCCTAGTTGTGTTGATGTGTCTTACATGTTGACTAGATGTTTATTAGAAGTAGAGATGGGTTTGTCTTTGGGTCCCTCTGGTGAATAGCAAAGGTCCATGTAATGAGCTCCAGCATTCTTGTTTGAATTTAATTTCCACGCTAAGGCACACAATTTGTATCTTTCCCCTCATTTTACTTAGTTTCACTTTTGCCTTCTCTTCCTCTCTGACCTAATTACTTATTTACTGTCCTCAGGAGTTATTTAGGCATATCCATCTGACAGAATAGTAATTTTTCATCTTTTAGAGAAGAAAACTAAATCTCTCAAGTGTTTGTCTTTGCTCTAGGTATCATTCATGGGGATCTCCAGTAGTCTAAAAGTGGAGTAGGCTGCAGGCCAGGCAAGGCCTGGGGCACTGTCTTCTATGACTTTTTTTTTTAACATGTTTTTATTGATTTCAGAGAGGAAGGGAAAGGGAGAGATAGAAACATCATTGATGAGAGAGAATCATTGATCGGCTGCCTCCTGCATGCCCCACACTGGGGATCGAGCCCACAGCCCAGGCATGTGCCTTGATTGGGAATCGAACCTTGACTTCCTGGTTCATAGGTCGACGCTCAATCACTGAGCCACACAGGCCGGGCTTCTGTTGACATTCTTAAAGGTTTTTCACCCTCAGCCATCTGAAAAAAAAATCAAATTAAAAATCTACGACTCTACTCTGTCTCGTCCATAGTTCTTTTTAACTATCAAATGTGCAGGGAGTGCCGCCACACACCAGTTTCCTAACAGGAAGACCAGGGAGCCTTGTAGAGATGCGTCCTGTTTCCTGCTCTCAGACCATAGACCAGCGGTTCTCAACCTGTGGGTCGCGACCCCTTTGGGGGTCGAACGACCCTTTCACAGGGGTCGCCTAAGACCATCGGGAAACACACATATAATTACATATTGTTTTTGTGATTAATCACTATGCTTTAATTATGTTCAATTTGTAACAATGAAATTGGGGGTCACCGCAACATGAGGAACTGTATTAAAGGGTCGCGGCATTAGGAAGGTTGAGAACCACTGCCATAGACGATCTGCATCACTGCTCTGGTCACTAACCAGGAACCTGCTGGAGCAGTAAGCACTGTTGAGGTCTATTTGTACCAGGAAAACTTCCTTAGGTCTTGAAGGGTTGGAAACAAACAACTGATACCATTACAATCTGGAGCAGGTTCTTCCAACACTCAGAACACATGATCTTTCTGTATGCTCAGGCTTACGGAAGCCTTCTTTGTCAACCCAGAGCAACAGACACAATTTAGGCTCAGTTTTATGCAGCAATAGGAAGATGGAAGTCAGAACCTCAGGGAATTCCCAGAAAGTCCATGAGGCCCTGCTTCTTCTATAAGGAAAGTGTGCCCCATTACATACTTTAGTAAACTTATTTAAGATTTCAAATTCCATGAATTAAGTTGGTTTTTTGGTCAATAAATAAAAATTAAAAAAAATTTTTGAAGATGGTTTTTAGGAATCAACTGATGAGCTTCCCAAAATGTGCTCCACTCTAGAGCCCCAGGTTTGCTGAATTCTTCAGACAACTTGTAATTCAAAGGAGCTGTCTCTACCCCCTTCTGCTAAATAGTCAAGGGGTGGCACCATGCACAGTGCTGTGTGGGAGATGTCCAGCTTCTCGATTCTGCACACCTACTGTATGTGCAAAGGTACAGAAAACCTTTAGCAGTCTTTGGCATTTGGTACCTTTAAAGACGCTTAAAGACTTGGTTTATTTTAGCCAGAATGGAATGCATCAGTCCTGCCTTTGGACCCAGACAACTAGGGTCTTTTTCCTGGGCCCCCATTCTAGCCTTCAGCAGCATCCCTCTCCATGGGGTAAGGGTGCTTACCGAGAGCTTTCAGGGCCCCCCATCCATTTCTTGACTATCGTCCAACTACTTGGGCCCCAGAATTTACTGAGTACCCAGACAGCCCAGAACTGCTGCTCGGGCAGGTGCAGGCCTCTTCCCCCACCCCCACCCCCACCCCAGGACTCTGGGCAGGAATGATAGCAGCTGGGATGGTAACTGTGGTAACTCCCACACACTGCATGGGGAGAAAAGCAGGGAACAGGCTGGGCCCCTACTTGTATTCTTGTGCCCCCCAAATATAGGGTATGCCTAGAAGCCAGAATGTTTTAATTGAAAAATATCTAAAGAAAAATCTTTAGAACATTAATTATGAGCTGTTTTTATTTTACAAGTCCTTAAAGCCCAAAAGCCTGAGCAATTAATTCCAGAACCTTACAGCTCATGTGGGTAACGTGAAAGTACCCCGACTCAGGCCCTCTTTATCGAAGTGGAGGGTGGGGGGTAGGAAGGGTCCCCATCCTGCTTGCACTGCCTGTGACTCAGGCAGTTTCAGACCGTGGTGCTCCCGGAGGAACGAACACACCAGGTAACGGGATTCCTGCGCCTCCAGGATTGGCAGTCAGGCCTGATCACTGCCCATGGAGGGCCATCTCATTCCTTTACTACTGTCCTAAAATCCCAAACACTTGTAGAGATCCAGAAGCCAGAATAGGGCTTCTCCAAGTAGGAGATGATTTCAGCCTAACTTAATGAGAAATCACAAAGTACTTGTTCAACTAGGGGCTATGGAAATACTGGCAAGATGAACAGAGAAATCCCCCGGGAGCCATTCTACACTGAGGTAGCAGCTTCTAGTGAACTGAATTTTTGTGTTGGCCAGAAAGTTACAATAATTAAGTCATTACAGAAGAATTTCTTTTGAGGTGTGATGGAGCCTACATCAGGAATGACTTGATTATATCAGAAAGGAGTAAAGTGGCTCCCTCTCCCTGAAGGTTACTTTTAGTCAGAGGACTTGAGTGCTTTAAAGTTGGAAAACTTCAGAATCATCAGGTTAAGACCTCACGTTTTAGATGAAGAGGCTGAGGTCCTGAGAGGTTCTGTGACATGCGTCCCAATCCATAGAGCAACTTTGGGACACAGCTGGTATTCTGGGTTTCCAAGGTGCTTGACTCTAGGGCTATAAATTAGTTATAAGGTTTTTTAAAAATTCATAATCGCCGAAACCGGTTTGGCTCAGTGGATAGAGCGTCGGCCTGTGGACTGAAAGGTCCCAGGTTCGATTCCGGTCAAGGGCATGTACCTTGGTTGTGGGCACATCCCCAGTGGGAGATGTGCAGGAGGCAGCTGGTCGATGTTTCTCTCTCATCTATGTTCCTAACTCTCTATCTCTCTCCCTTCCTCTCTGTAAAAAATCAATAAAATATATTAAAAAAAAAAAAATTCATAATCATCTGGAGTAGATTATGGCAATCTAGTCACTAACAAACTATTTTAAAGTGCCTGTCACCATGCTGTCTTGGTGTTGTCAAAGTTTTTTTTCTGAATTAGGGAAGCCTTAGAGAAACAGTAGTCTTTGGTTGGAGGAGTCAAAATGAAGAAAAATCTTGAGAGTATCTGAATGTCTTGATAAGAGCATGCTCTCCAAAAGTGGGGTTCACATTCAGAGATTGCTAAACATCTCTTCCTTTTGGAAGCATGTAAGTTGAAAGCTGGGCTGGAAGGGGTGAGAGTTGGCCCTGGACTTGAAGGAATGTGTGCAACCCGTGCCGTGTTCAGAAGAGCAGGCAGGCACTGAGCCGAGGGCCAGCACCCTCCCAGCAGGTCCCCCAGAGCTGCCATGAGTGGGGAGTCTCAGCATTATGAACCGTCAGTCCCCAAGAGTCTACTAGGAAAGGGATGTGAATGTTCCAGATTAAATGGCTGACTTCCAGGCTTTGGGGGCTCTCACTAGCCTTAGCCATCTATTTCCTTTAAATGTGTTGAGTCCTTGAGGTGTCATGTCCAACTGCTGCTCTTCCAAAGTCCCTCTGCCTTCCCCCCTTCTTCTCCCCCTGCGTCTGGTTCTGTTTGACTCAGGAATGGTGACAAGTCATGAGAAACAACAGTTAGGAAAAAATACAAGACAAAAATACAAGACAAATGACAGGCTTATTTGACTCAGCACTGACTTTCATATTTAGGTAATTTTTACAGAAGTCTACATAAACTTTAAAAAAATTACACCTGGATGTTTTGTTGCTCTCAGAGTAGGAATGGGTCTTTAAGGCAAACCTACTTTTAAAAAAAGATATATTCCTGTTCTGTGGCCTAATTAATGAGAGACAATGCTAAGCCGTAAGCAAACAGAAGACTATGTTACAGGGAGTGTATCCAGGACTGCAGAACCTTCATGCGGATAGTTTCTACATGGTAGTAGTGGGCTTTCTGTGCGGAATGGGAACGTAACAGCCTTTCGCAGGTTATCTAATTTCATGGGAAATTCAAGTATAAATAATGAGAGCAAGTTTTTTCCTATCTTCATGTATTGAAGAACTTCGCCTAGCTAAGAGAGAGAGAGAGAGAGAGAGAGAGAGAGAGAGAGAGAGAGAGAGAGAGAGAGAGAGAGAGGAGAGAGGAGAGAGGAGAGAGGAGAGAGGAGAGAGGAGAGAGGAGAGAGGAGAGAGGAGAGAGGAGAGAGAAGAGAGAGAGAAAGAGAGAGAAAGGATTAAGACCAAAGTCTAGTTAGAAATTTCAGTTCTAGACTGGACTCTGGCTTGGAGTTGTTTCTGAGGTCCCATTTGAATGTATGCTGCTCAGTTTCTCTTAGAAAAGATTAAAGGGTAATTAGGCCACCACAGTGGGGTAAAAACACCGTTTGAAAGTGTTTTATGATCCAGAAATCAAAATTCCAATGTAGAAACCACAAACAGTTCAATCCCTTTAATTAAAAAATTGATTTCAAGTGGCAGTAGCATTAGTGGGGCCTCAAGATGTTCAACTCCAATCTACATTACATAGAATTCACAAAGGCTTCTGGGTTAGGAAAAAATGAGGCTTTACGAATCTGCTCTTTGAAGCGCTGTTTCCAGCTCATATCAGCTCCAACCTTAGGGTGCCTATGAAGGGAAACACAGTGTATCCAGGAACTTATGTCAGCCAAGTTCAGTATAGCCTGAAGGTAGGACCTTGAAATCATCATCCTCAGCTCACTATATTAATAGACCAGCAGCCTAGGCCTTTCTTGTTTTGTACTATTCCTGTCATGGTTGAAGTGGGTGTGCCCATTTTTTACCATGGGTTTGGCATATAGGGTATTTTTTTTTATTGCTGCTCACCTGGCATTTGGCCCAAATGCCATTACTCTTGGCTTCACCAGTGTGCACAAGTGGCTCATAAACCAAATCAAGATGTGACCAACAGCTAGATTATTTTAAAGGAGTCATATGATTCCAGGGGGAAATCAGCCTTCAGGCTGTTGCCTCACATAGGATTTGGTCTGTGGTTTCCCTATATAGTGCCAGAAAGCTGCATGATTATTAGCGGTTTGAGCCAGATACTCAGATAGACAGGCAGTCACATGCCCACAGTATGATGACCTCACTGAGCAACTCATGTTTCCTGGATGTTGGGAAATTCAGGCTAGCCGAAGAACCTTGTCCTTGCAATGTGAGGATGTTGGTGGTTGATAATGATTCAGCAGCACATTCTAATCTGAATTTCAAAACAGCCAGTTGCTCAAGGGGACATCTGAATTGCTGATCATCTACTTTCCAGAGATGGAAGTCTTCAGAGTAGCTTGATCCTTGAACCAATTCAAATAGATTAAAATTAGATCTTTTTCTGTCTCAAAGAAAATGATCTTGGATGAGTTGGCATTCCCAAAGGCACTAAGGTTTTCATTGCTCTGAGTGAACACAGCAGGGGGGTTCTCCAGGCCATTTTACATGCAGCCACCTGTGCTCCCCAAGTCTGCCTTTGTAACCTGCTATCATTCCTGCCTTGTCTTGGCTTCTTGTGAGTTCTGGCTTCAGGGTCTGGTAAGCAGAATTGAGTCAAGGGCCTAATATTTCAGTCCCAATTTGGCCATGGGCAAAGCAGTCACCT